ATACAGCTGCATCTTGGATAGTCCTGTAGTCTTCCCTAGTTTTGTTGTGTTTACTATTATTACTTCATTTTATTTCAAAATGCATGACAAGAACAAACCTTTCCCATTACAAAAATGTATATGGACAAGCAATTTCAATTCACCTGGCAGACTATTTTTAGCCCCGTTTTTAACCTGACGCAGTACCTAATCACATTAGTGGAGGGGCTTTTATTTTCAAAGTGATGGCTTTGGAATAGAGAACTTCCTTCTATACAGCAAGTGAGAGCTGCCTCTCCCAGACCTCCGCTGTGCTCTTGGTAGAGGTGCTCCATCTTCCTCCTCTGCACCACATTTCTCAGATCACCACATTATTTCTGAGTCCCGTCTGTAAGCGCTGTGCTGGTGACCCCTACTGTGGCTCTACTTTTAGAGTGCTCATACACCACGCTAGGAAATCCTCACTGGTGTCTAAATTAAGCTAATTAGATTGTGGTGCACACCTAAGGCACATAGCTGTTATTCAAACATATGCAGAAGAAGTAGTGCGTCAGGGTAATATTCACAGGCAAGCGATGGAGTGTGAAGCTACTAGACCAAAACTTTGCGCTCCATAAGCTGCTCCTAGGCAAGGGACCATTAGTGCAGGTCACAGATCTACTCAGTTTGATAGAGAAAGGTCTAACAGAGGGTCAATTAACCTGATCAGGACCTTTACGTTTTCACTCTGCCATCATGCACAGTACTGTAATATAGAGTACATTATTTTAGAAATGCTTTAGGAAGTTTTAATAAAGCTTAGTGCACAACTCTGGTGGCATATGATGCAACAAAACCAGATCAAAAATATCCTAAAAACATTGAAACTGACATTAAAAAGAGTTGATTTTCAATCCAGCGTTTTATTTCCCACAAGCTGCAAATCACTCAGTACAACAGCCTCCTGTCCCAAGCTTCGATACACCGTAACATACCAAAGCCTAAGCGTGGCACTGCCCAATACTAAATGATGCCTGTCCTGAACCTCAGGCCAAGGTAATTTTTCAGCAGTGAATTTCTCCAGTTGCAGTTTGATTTAAAACAGTGTGATTCCCGTTTCCAGATGGGAACATTGATACAGAGCAGCTTGAAGTGTATGATTTCAATGGTGCGATACACAGTATTGTTTCTTTTCCTGTTTTTTATTCCACGTGCTTCTTATCTGCCAGCTTTGGCAAAGAATCAGCCGCACAACCCTAAAAGAAGCTTTCAGATGTTTGAGTATTTACACGCTATAAAATCAAAGCAATAGCAAAACACCGTTTCTAGTAGTGGAAGAAAGTTTAAAACTTAACCATGCTTGCAGGGACTGTATTTCCTCCGTCTCGGAAGGCTGCAGGCAGTTGCAGTGTGAAGGCATATTCTTACACTGGAGCAGAATCACCATTCCAACTGCAAGGAAAAGAAAGTACAGGAACTTACACAAAACAAGGTGGCGAAAAAGACTTGCTTATGAAAAAAGTTTTTCATAGGATCTCTGAGAAAAGCAGTAAAAAAGATCTTCCACCAAAAAAACAAGGGCCAAAATAAGGGCTTCCGGAGGCTGTTAATGTTGGTAGGCTGTAGCAGCATTTGAGAAACTGCATACATTACAAAAAGGCTTTCACAGTGCATGTGATGACATGGGAAATCTGAGGGGAAAAAAAGACCGTGCAATTAAAGAAAGGTAATTTTTGCAGCCTAAAATTGCTAAGTGGTAATGTGACCTCTGCAAGTAATGATTTAAGAACCCTGTTACAGCAGAAGCAACATATTTTTAAAGAAATGCATACTTCTAACAAAAAAGGTTTTTTTCCCAAATAAAGACATTAATTTCTTATCATTATTTAATTTCTACCACCATTCTTTCCAGGCTAATGCAACCTCAAACATCTTTTTCTTCTCTGAAATTTTATTTGTAGGATAAATCAATATAGCGAAGAATAGAGGAATTTCTGAAAAAAAATATGGCACATCTCTCCGTTTTATCATCTTTTAGGTGCGTGTTGGATTTGTCTATTAAAATCGTTGCATCCCCTTGTTTGTGGGGTATTTGTGCCTTCCCTCTTCTACCCGAAGAGTCAGTAGGAAGTTTAAAGCTGGGTTATATCTTGCAGTGGACAGCCACTGTCACTCTGTCTTTGTTGGTCCAGCGACCTCCTCTACCCTCTCTCTCTAAATTTTTGGAGGAGCAACCGCCTCCTCCCGTTTTATGAAGAAGAATTTATGCAGGTCCAACCCTGACATCCAGTGGCCACTGCCGTTCATGGCAGGCTCCCGGTGTCTCGACCATTTGGAACTTGGCTTGAAGTGATTCGGCTTTACTCTCCAAATGGATTATTTCAGCACTTAAATCAACGCATTTATGTAATTTCCATAAGTAAGCATCCGTTGTTGCTGACACTAATTATTTCTCAACGTGACTTTGGAGACCAAGACAAGTATTAAATATTCTGATAACTATATTGAATGGTGTTCAGTACAAAAACCTTGAAATATCCTAAAACGATCAATTATTCAGGATTCCTAATTGCACAAGCACATTACTACTGAGTGATAGTTCTCTCTCTATATATCTACATCTGTGCACACATTCATACTTAACACACATTCTCTCCCTCCCCCCAGTCACTTAGTATTCCTGAACTTGAAACGATAGCGCCCAAGTGCAGGCATCCCTTTTGCGCAGACCTAACAAGAAAAACAAGGCGCAACAATAGATTTTATTTTTGTGTGGAAGAAGAAATGAAGATAAAGTGAATATAATTCTTCAAAGCTAGCAGCTGAAACTTCGTATTTTTCAAACTTGAAGTTAGGTAATTACTTGTAAATATTTGTTACTCGCCTGTTGGCTGGTAATTTTACTACCTGTGTTTTTCTGCCTAGTATTGGTAAGCTTGTCTGGTACTCTCAGAGGAGTTTTTGATCAAAGCCAATATAGAGTGAAGTTTTGGTACATATTTTCTCAGAGCTCTGGATGCCTGAATGCAGTGTTTTAATCTGGCCCACTATCAAGCTTGCTGAAAATTTCAGGTTTACACTTCTCTTTCAGGGCGTTTTTTTGAACTAGAACGCTAACACCTGTTTGGTTTAATGCAGCTATTACTCCTACAAACTCCTGCAACAGCTGCAAGAGATGAAGCTTCTGCGCATCTTTTCTGTTCCAAAGACTGATGGATTATTGCAATCAATACATGTCCTGGCTTAGAGTTTCCAAGATGATAACTTCAAAACAGCTCTGAGATCAGCCCTACGTGTCACTGAGTTGGCACTGAACATCTATCAAAAGTAAGCGTCCTTCATACCATCCTGCTCTTTACAAAGGTACCATTTAAAAAAAGAAATGAAAGCTTTCCCATGTTCAGAATATGTCTTTCTTTGTCTTTCTAGGTACCAGCATATATAGAAAATCCTGAAGAGCTGTGTTTGTTTGTTTGTTTGTTTTTTCTCTCTTGGTCTCTCTGGAAGCAATCACAGAATGCAATTGCTGTATCCAGCTGGGTAAAACTGCTTCCTACTAAGTGAGCCTTGATAGTGATGACTCAACAGATCCTCATAAAAATAATAATAAAAAAAAATTATAGTCCTCATTTAGTTCTTTGCACTAAAGGGTAAGGATGCTTCAGGACATTGTTTTGACGTTGCTTTCTGTGGCCTTGGTTTTATAAGACACTTGCTTTTAAACAGGGGGCTTAGTATCATCCGAGTTTTCACGGAACATTTCTGTGGATTTCTTTTGACTACAGGGCGTTTACAAGGACAGGAAGAAATAGCTCAGTGTCCTATTGCAAAATTGCTGGCAACATGTCTTTCCTATTTTAAAACAAGTAATTAAAAACACTGCTATCATATGAAAGCATGAATCATTTCATGCATTTTAAACTTAACATTATGTAAGGTCTTGAAGAGAGCTGGAGAATAAAGACTACTTGTTTGGTGGATGATAAAATTTATTTCAAGCTCTACTTTGACCAAAGAAGATAAGCAATGCAATTTAAAATTTCTGTGGGTTTTATGTCTGCTTGTGAGTTTAACATTCACGTAAAATACTACCTGCACTGTCAAAAAAAATCTTTTTCAACAATAATACTTAATTTTGGCTTAAATCCCTTGACCCTGCTCAGCTGCAAAGCCTGCCTGGGGAAAAGCAACTAAGAGCTCTGCACCTTACAGAGGTCAGCTGGATGTAACAGAAGTAACCTTACCAAACTACTTATTTTGGGAGGACCTGCAAATGCTGTGCGCTTCTTTAGCGTTTCTCTATAGGGACTTCTTGTACGAGAGCTACCACAGAAAGTGCCACGTCGCCCTCTAACCAAGCAAAGGGCTAACGAAAAGGAGTGTTGGGTTGCCCTTGGCACCTCCTGGCTGTTTTTCTGGTAGCTTTTTCTTTCTTCAGCGCCAGGCTTCCTGCGTCGCTTCTTTAGGGAGCACAACGGAGATGCAGTTTATACCGAGGCAGGGCCAGGAGCTGGGATAAGCCGTGCCCTGAAGCCTGAGCCTCAGGGCTCTGCTTAAGTCTCCTGGCAAACAGAGGCTTCCTGATGTTGTTCCCCATGACCCATTATCCAGGTATGTTGTGGCCAGATTCGATAGTTCTCATGGGAATTAAGCAGTAGCTACAATATCAAAGCCCTATCTTTGCTTTACAAATGGGCTTGAGGCTTTAACTTGAGGCTTGAGGCTCAGCCTAGCGTCAGGCTTAACTTGGGGCTCAGCCTTGTACTGGTCTGGAGAATACGGGATGCTGAGGCAGTCGCTCATCCTGCTTTAAAACAGCGACGTGTTACGGATGCCGGCCTGGAGTCGTAACTGTCATTTGGCTGACTATTGGATTAGTCAATTGAAGCCATTAAACCAGCAGTAGATTATTTCATTACAGATCATGCTAATGTTTAATCGCGCCGGGGCCCGCCCCGCGGGCGGGCGGGCAGGCAGGCCGGCAGGCCAGGCCATTTCGCACAGCGCCTCCCCGCCGGGCTCGGGCCGCCGCCGCCGCCGCCATGACGGACCGGTACACCATCCACAGCCAGCTGGAGCACCTGCAGTCCAAGTACATCGGGACGGGCCACGCCGACACCACCAAGTGGGAGTGGCTGGTGAACCAGCACCGGGACTCGTACTGCTCCTACATGGGCCACTTCGACCTGCTCAACTACTTCGCCATCGCCGAGAACGAGAGCAAGGCGCGCGTCCGCTTCAACCTTATGGAGAAGATGCTGCAGCCCTGCGGGCCGCCCGCCGACAAGCCCGACGAGTCCCAGCCCGCCCCGTCCGGCTCCCCGCCCCCGCCCCTGC